TCCAAAATATCTAATGTCTCTACAGTGGCGCCCGAACTAAAAGGGTGGTGGATGATAATTCTCCACACCCAGGATTTGGCAATTGCGTCTCCCAAAAACCCCAGTCGCCCTTTAAAAAGGGCGAGCATGCCTTCGTGGTGTGGTGATCTGCACGCTGGGCGCGTATTCCAGAGGTCCGTGGTTCGATTGCCGACGAAGGCTTTGCTCATTTTTCACTTCTGCTTCCAAAATATCTAATGTCTCTACAAACTTACTGAATATTAGCTACGTAAATATCTAATTTTATTATCGATTTCATCATAGTTCCTTACATGATTCGTGATTACCAAATGTAAGTTTTCATATTATCTTTTTTTCTTTTTTTTTTTCTTTCAGTACACCTTGTATTTACAATAGCTAATAATAAACGTTGACAGGCTAAATCTTTTCCATCATAATCCAGTCTGTCAAACAGAAACCACATACTAGGATGGCTACAATTAAATAATGAATTTAGTACCTTATGAAAGCTTTCGTAATAATTTGTTGTTTTAGAATATTTTTTAGAGGCTGCTTCATAATGATTCCACACTTCGATTGGAAACTGTGGTCTTCTAGAACATTTTTGCCTCCAAACTTAAATAATTACATTCAAACATCCATTTCTATAGATACAGATCAAAAGTATGCAAAAATAGAGCAAATAAAAAACAAAAATAAACTATTGGCAGTTACAAGGGGAAAAAAATTTACAGGGGGCAGTGGTATAAAATATTACAGTTTATGCAAGATTTTACTATAGTTTTCATTCTTTTATATACCGCCCTTGAAAAGGTTAATATGAGCATTTGTCCAATATTTTTTTCAAATGATCAAATAATTTTTCTTTAAAAAATTCAAGTAGGTGTGCTATGTTCAAATCGATTAATTATTGATTTGAACCTAGCACATCTACTTGAATTAATTATTGATTATTGATTGATTAATGTAAGGATATTTATTTCTACGTATTTTATTTATCAGTGGGCTTATTTCCACGTGAGCATATATCTATATGAGCTTTTTTCCATGTGAGTATTTTTCTATGTGGGCATATTTCTGTGTGGACAATTTTCCTGTGAGCATTATTCCTGTAGACTTTTTTTTCGTGTGGTTTTTTTTCTTTTTCTTTTTCTTTTTTTTTTTTTTTTTTTTTTCTTTTTTCTAGAACCATTTTCAGTAGGATCGATTTAAGTAATCAAAATGTATTTAATTCATGATCTATCTAATTAAAAATATTCAGTGTTTTCACAGAATGACGTTATATATCTTTTTATTATTGATATAATATTTTGTAAAGCTTTAATGAATTTTTGATTTAAAAACTCTGCAGTTGGAAAGCAAGCAGTGGCAGCACTGCAGCGAATAAAACATTTTTATCTCCAGCGCGCATGTTCTAAACATATACTGTTTTTTTTAATATTTTGTGATTTAGCCGTTGAACTTAATTTTAGGTAGAAAAATATAAGGAAATATAACATTTTCTACATTTTTTGTTTTTTAATTTAAAAAAATTGTTAGAAAAATAATCTAAATTTAAACAAATGCGTATGTATTTTCGAGTTGCGGAAGGGGCAGGGGGAATAATCATCCAGCAATAATGAAAGTGGTTGTATGGAGCAAAAAAGGTTCTGGAATCACTGGGCTAGTCGCACTGTAGTTTCCTTGGTTTTCTCATGTGTTATGTGAACATGATCCATTTTCTTGTAGAAGAACCTTCACGAAGGCATCCCTTTCATACGGCTGTAGAGACATTAGGCTATTTCGAAGCAGGAGAGATGAAAAATGAGCAACGCGTTCGCCGGGAATCCAACCACGGACCTTTGGAATACGCGCCCAGCTTGCTAACCACTACACTACGAAAGCATGCTAAGAAGGCAGGAGAAATACCTTATACGGCAAATAACTGTAGTGGGCTTTGCCATAATCTAGTTTAATCCATGAGATTAAGCAAACATATTAAATGCTAAAGTTAAACATCATATGCTTTGCCGAATGGCTACGCAATGGCTCGTGCAAGATAAAAGCATTTTTATTTCTGTCAGTGGTCTCGTACTGCTTTTAAATTGCCGAGTCTGTTGATTCGAAAGATAAATATCTTATATTTTGCCGAATGGCAATAACTGTGCGCGGAAGATAAAAATAGCTGTGCAGTTCATTTTTTGCAACTTAATGCAGTTCTTTTCTAGCAGTGGAAGTTTAAGTTTTAAACGAACAGTTCATTTAAAGTTCCTGCAAAGTAAAAAATAAATAAAAACGAAATTCGACATTCCTACTGCGACGGTATTTGCTGTAGCGACCACCATTTTCGACCAGACTGGAAGCATCATACATACATTATGTCGTGTATCGCTATTTTATAAAAGTATTGGGAATGCACATCTTGTAATTTTATCTGAGAAATAACTATTTTTGGTTAAATTTGCGTGTGGGAATTTTAGCGAAGCGCTACAGTAATAATAAACAATCAGGTTAACAACCTTGCGATTTACTTGAATGCTATTGGCATCGCGATAAAAGTCAAAGACATCGCTGACAATGGAAACACTCTGAGCCGAAGTGACATTTCCGCGATGCTTCGGAGATTTATTTATTTTTTATTTCTCCCCCCCCTCTTTTGTCGGAAATTTGTTGTCAGGAGTCAAAACTTATTCATTAAGAAACGTCATAAATTTTAAAATGTAAGAAGAATTAAGAATTCAATTGAAAAATTCCTCACTTAAAAAAATGGTAACAGTATATCTTATTTCTTTTAATGAGTCGCCAATTTGGCGGTTTGGCGGTTCTTAAGAAAAATTCTGTTAAATATAGTAGATACGGTTTAATGTGGTCGCGATTAATGTTCTTATTCGGATATTATTATCGAATTGTTGAAGTCCCCCCCTTCCCCCCGATTATATACAAAAGCATGGAAAATGCATCTCTTACTGGGATCAACTATTCGGTTAATGCGATCAAAATATTACAGAATATTAAGGAAAGTCACCAAATAAATTAAAAATTCATTATAAAAATTGCCAAATTTAGAGAAATGTCACCAAGTGAGGAGTTTGTCGCCAAACAGCATGATTTCCATTTTAATCGACCATTTAAAATTAGGCCTTCCAGCCCCGGGGAAAAAAAAAAAAAAAAAAAAAAAAAAAAAAAAAAAAAAAGTGTTGGAATTAACTGCCATGTCTGTACTGTTTCAACAATTTCTTTATATTATCCGTTAGATGGGATCTGAATATGTCCCAAACCAAAAGACTTTTTGGATTTAAGGCAACAGGACGCTTTTGGTAAACATTTCTTATCCGCAATTTTACACCATTTTTCGTCCATCTAGTCTTTTCCGTGAACGCGAATGAAAACACCATTTGGGAAATTACTTATTTTGCTATATACTAATATGGTGATTTGTGGTGAGAATTTTAAATTCGTGACAAACATCATTGTATGTCATCCTTTTCATTTATTGCTGGAAGATTTTTTGTTGCCAAATATGGCAGGAAATTGCCATTTCGGTCCGGTCCCTGCATACTGTAACTGAGTAACTGTAATTGAAGCCTATAGGCAACTGTAACCGTACCCCAACCGTAGATGTAACTTTAACTGTATATGACTTCCCATAATTTCGAGAAATGGAATTTGCTAGAGATTTCTCGGCGGCCGGGTGAAAACTGATGCCCTTTGCATTGCGTTGAGTTTAACGTTCCTAGTAGTTTGAAGTGTAATTACTGATTTTACTCTGTGATAGTGTGAAGAGCTGTAGGAGTATTTTTATGAAATGTTCCAGAACTGTGAAGTGTTCAAATCAAGCTATCAACAATTCTGTGTAAATTTAATATATTACGAACCCGTATTCATGCAACAGTACCGTAGCGAATTTCACGCTTTCGCTTATTTGATTCATTAGATAATTGGGGGCCTTTCGTGAAATTTATAATACATTTAATTGCTATAATTAATAATATGCCAATCGATTATCTTTTATAAGCATTTGCAGCATTACTGTAATTAGGAAACGGTATTTCTAATTCTATATATTTCACAGCTGACTGCAGAATAGTCGTTTGTTTTGCCTTTTGACTTTGGATTTCATCCACATTTAATACTGCTGTCGAATTACCCTTATGTTTATAGTCTCAGCTTTATTGTATTTTTCATTAATATTAAATTCCGCGCTAACGTTATTGTCATAATCTAGATTTGCATTTTTTGAATTGTTTGACTATTTTCGGGTGCTCGTATAAAACGTTTTGATAGACTGGCATTTCTTCTTTCCCCTATTTTCTTCCCGTTTCCTAGTTTCTCTCTAGAGAAATTTATTCTTTTTATTTATATTTATTTCTGGTTGGCTGTTTAATTCCTTTCGTTTCCTATCTGCCTTGGGGGACTTTATTATTTGGTTATTAGAGTGTATATTTTTGCTTTTATTCTTAGTTTTAATCCCTTATCGTTATGCAACATTATCCCTCCAAAATCTTATTCAGTTCCCTTATCGTAGTGCATAGTTATAATGAAATGAAATAAATTGGATGTAACTATAACGATAAATATAGAAAAATTCCACGCGATTCACTCAGCGCAGACGAGTTTCTTGGAAAAAGAAGCTTTTATGTAAAAGGTCTTTTTTGATCGCATTATTTTTGCTGCGCCAATCATGTGTGTTTCCACGTCATAATCCGATCTATAAATTTAATGACATAACCGAAATGTTGTATGTGTTCGATGTGTCTTATATGCAGAATGGTTATAAAAAAACTCTCCCGATATATGAATCCCTAGCGGCCTATCCGATCAACCAAGCGAAAGGAAATTTTAGGTATTGTTATTTGAATGTCGCTCGAGATTGGGATGATTTAAAACAATAGTCACGGTTATAGTGAAATTTTTTTGAAACTTTCGAATGGCAATACCGCCTTTTCCCGTGCAATTTATCGGCGCATTGAAATGTAGAGACATTAGGTTATTTCGAAACAGGAGGGATGAAAAAGGCGCAATGCCTTCGCCGGGACTCGAAAATCGGGCCTCTCGAATGCGAGTCGAGCATGCTTACCACTACACTACAAAGGCATGCTTAGAAGGCGGGAGAAATACCTTATATACTCCCCGCCTTTAAAGGGCGACTGGAGATTAGGGGACTCATTCGCCAAATCCTGGTGGTGGAAAATCATTATCCACCACCTTTCTTTAGTTCGGGCTCCACTGACAGACATTAGGCTATTTCGAAGCGGGAGATGTGAAAAATAAGAAATGCCCTCGCCGGGACTCGAACCACGGACCTCTGGAATACGCGTCGAACGTACTGACCATTACACCATGAAGGCATGCTTAAATACTTTATAGAAATACAAAAAATGGCTTTGAAACGATAGACGTGTAACGAAATTTGTTGGCATAAAAATTTTTCAAAGTACAGCTTTGTTTAAAGCGCCAATGACAATACAGGACAGGGTAAAAAACTGTTCTGGAATTACAAGCTTCCATTGTGTACAACGTTACGAGATTGAAGTCAGCTTCCACAACTTTGCAGTTTCGTGGCCACCTCGATTCGCCGACCTTACTCCGATGGATTTTTGGTTCTTGGGGGTTATCTGAAGTCTAGGATGTACACATCAGATCCACGGGATTTTTCAGAATTGAAAGATGGCATAAAATGTGAAGTTATACTGATTCCTCCTGCGTTATTGTGTTCGTCGTTGTTGCCAACTCTCCCACGTGCAATGCATTATCATCTGCGAAGGTGGGCACATAGAAAACTTGTAATTCCAATAAATTTTTTCCCTCCTCTCTTGTGTTGTTAATGGTCCTTGACAATGTTATTCGTTGCAAATGCTTTATCCCGGGAGTTTTTGTCACACGTGCATTGTTCCAACGTCATTTATGGTTTTTTTCAATGCGCCGACCAATTTGCGTAGGAAAAAAAGTGGATGTTGCCTTTCGAAAACCTCGAAATGTTCTCACTACAACCATAACTGTGAGATTAACATTATAATATTTGACAATAATTGAGTCTGATTCACTTACCTTGTAAACGCATGAAGCGTTTTGGAAACTGCGGTTACTTCGGGTCCCAAGATGAACATCGGAAGAACGAAGGAAAGGTAGGGGGGCAAAAGACTCGGATTTCGAAAGATCGAACGCATCAGCAGAAGATGAGGCTACAATGAAATGGATCATATAGTTTAGTGGTAACTAATAGAAGTAAGATGAAAATAAGTGTGAGAAGACCTTTCACATCCGGATAGGTAACGAAGAATCCGCACAGAATATGTTTCAAATAATAATTAAAAAATTTTAGAGCTTAGTGTTAAAATGCTAGGAGGGAAGTGTTATAAAATGCTAAGAGATAAGTGTTATAAAAAGCGAATACATCACAGCACAGCAGTCGTGACAATTTAAAAAATTTTAAATTTAAAGTTTTAGAATTGCTCAGAATTTTCGGAAGAAGAAACAGGAAGATCCGTGTTCTTCGTTTTTTTTTTTTTTTTTTTTTTTTTTTTTTTTTTTTTCCCTATATAAAATTGTGTTTCATCATTTACGTTTCACATTCCTCCACGTATTGCATTACGAGTGTTATTGCTTTTGCCATGTTCAGTAAGCCTTTCAAGAAGTGCTCATCAATTCTTATAATTCCTCAGAAAAATGCTTAATTTTCAATTCCTGTGTTGTTTTACCGGGATTAAAAGCAAGCCTCCTTTGCTATGCACCACTGATTGCAAACGTACTTCTTCAGTTGCTGGAGTTAACTGATTGAAGGCCGGTTTCGATTTAAAAACATTCTTAATTAGTGCCGTAAAACAAAGCGAACGACCTTATTCGGACACAGACAGGGTTGTAAGGATCCGCTGTTCGATTGTGTCTTCCACAAAAGACAAGGGCCCTCCTCGTTAAGTTCGTTCTATGCGAAGTGGTGGAGTCGTTCCACAGAGATTCGATGGGCCGTAAAAAGAGAAAGAAATTCATTCTGGCTTCCTGTTCCTCGCAGAGCAGTGGATTCTTTGGAACGCCAAATAATGGGAATGTATGTCTCGACTTCTGAAATGAACGCAGCATTGTGTACTGGTTAAAATTTAAGAAATACTAAAGTAAGGTTTAAAAGAAAGTGTTTTTGCAAAATAACCTTTCATTTAAAACTCATAAAATGATAAATGACATAGCTAAAAGAAGAAAAATGAGTTATCGTATAGTTTAATGGCAATAAAATTAAATAATTGTCTACAAAATTCATTTGCACTTTTAAACCACGAAAAATAAAAGCGTCGGGCGCCTAAATAACGAAATCGAATTGCACTGTTAACATTAAAAGATGAGAATAAAATATCCTTCAAAATAGCAATTCATTTTGTATCAATATAATAGAAACATATAAAAAGAGGCGTTTTGAAACATTTTAATGGGAAAGACGCGAAGGCTTGTGAACTCTGCCCAATGTCTTTAATGCAAAAGCTCATTTATGAACAGCTGATTACATTTCTAGAAATTATTGGACCGATGATGCACCCTTAATCTTAATACTATTAACTATTTATTGTCTAGTATTTAAATTATTAACTATTCAGTGTCTAACTATAAACTGTGTCAAAACCATTTAATGTCTAGTAATTCTAAAAATATCAAATTATTGTTTGTCTACTGATTAAACTATTAACCGCTAATATTCTTACTGTAATTGTTAGCTGACTAATAATTAACTGTTATCAAATCATAAATTAATTACCTTATAAATATTATTTGCTTTAAAAGTATTAATTGTCTGACGATTAATTGCTAATTGTTTAACGTTTAATATATAATCCTCTACCTGTAACTATTAACTATTAAAAGTTTAGGGAAATAAATCTGAAAAGGGTTGGATTTGATCGGTCGCAGTTTAATATATTTTAATAGTTAGACAATAATAGTTAACGACTATAGTTACACAATTAATAGCTAATAGTCACAGTTAGATGATTAATATTTACTGAAATTAGACAAATAATAGTTTTACTCATTAGATATGTATTTCTAACCATGGTATATTTGTCTGTCATTTTGACGTATTTGTTTGTCCACGGCTATTATGATAATATTAATCGAATGATAGCATTAAAAGATAAGAAACAATAACAGAAAAGATTCCAGTTAAACAATTTACGCGTCCAGGATCTAGCTAATATATAGGATCTTACCTTCTTGGCCACATAAACCCTACTAGATCCTTTTACCTGGCGACTTCTCGCACAGGCGTGAAATAATACCAGCACAGAAGAAGGATGAAAATAATCCTTTCATATTCTTATCAATGAACAGAAAAGTACGTACTTCTTGCTTTACACTAACACCGACAACTTGCGGTGAAACTTAAGAATTGTAACACAATAAATTTAAGCCTAAAAGAGTAGTGCTGGACTAGCATTTTAAGTTACAACTAAACTAGGTTGACTCGACAGCCTACCCGGCGTAATACTTATTCAAATAGCCAAAAGATGTATCAGCAACTCCGCATAACAGCAAGGTCAGAAACTTAACTTGTGCTGGCTAGCAAAAACACGCTCTGAATAAACTCCAAGATTCACCTGTTTAAATACTCACTTCACTTAACTTTAAATTTACATACTGGAGTTGAGGGGAAGTTGAGGAGTTCAGGAGAGATAACAAAAATTTGAATGAACGCTTGATTCAACTAAGGGAAGAACCCCTACAAGTGAGCCAATTCAGGGTTGTCTGATAAACGTGTTCCATTAAAAGAAACAATGGAAATACATTCTTTTGCAAAAAAATCGAAGCACCAAGAAGGACTTTTCGACGAAATTTGGTATGCAAAAACATCTTGATCGAACATACAAATGATCAAAGTTTGAAGGTTAATGAACAGGAATTGGCATCATAGCGCGCATTTCTAGTGCGCAATTCGCATAAAGCCAGTAACAAAGAATAAAACCATTAACAAAGGCAGAAAAGTTATCTTTTTTTGTTGCTGCCATTGTAGTTCCGTAAAGAAGCAACTGAAGATGCCATTACGACGATATCGAAGACCTTACAATCAACTAAACGACCTCGAATGTGGTCGCATTGTAGGGTTGCGTGAAGTTAGGTGGTCATGCCGAGCAATAGGCCGCCACTTGTAGCGTACAGACACTGATGTGCAAATATGTTGGCAGCAATGGTGCTACAAGGGAATTTCGGACGAAATGAAGGCTCTGGAAGGCCAAGGAGCACAAATTCGAGGCAAGAACGGATGATTGTTCGCCGCGTCCGAACCGCCCCAACGGTATCATTGTCGACTATTCAGCGCACTACAGCCACGTCTATACCTCCCGTGATGCTGTCCACCATCTCACGGCGCTTATCTGAGGCGGCTTTACGCTCACAGAGGCCTTTGACCCCACAACATCGGCGGAGTCGTCTGGAATGGCGTCACGGCCGATCATCATGGCTGCCATCAGACTGGCATCGTATTGTGTTCAGCACTGAATTCCACTTCACTCTTGAAGCAGATGACCAACGTGTTCGTGTGTGGAGAGGACGGGGGCCAGCGGTTCCAATCAGCTTTTGTTTTACAAAGGCATACAGTCATACCCCTGGTGTGATGATGTGGGGTGCTATTTCTTATGACAGCAGGTCATAGTCATCCTCCGCTCATCTTTAACAACTCAACGATATGTTGATATCATCCTGCGGCCGGTTGCATTCCCTTCATGGCACGTCATCCTGAGGGCATTTTCCAACAAGATAATGCCAGGCCATATACCACTCGCATATCTCTGGAGTGTCTTCGTGCGGTTCATAGTCATCCTTGGCCAGCAAGGCCACCAGACCTTTCACCAACCGATCATGTTTGGGGCATGGTAGGCTGCCAGATTGGGGCACCACAAAATATTGCAGATCTGGAGCGACAACTGATGAATGCCTGGCAGAATGTGTCGTAGGATGACATCAGGAACCTCTACCACTCCTTGTCTCGACGAATTCAAGTATGCATTGCCGCCAGGGACGGTTCGACCAACTACTAATTTGAACACTCAATGGGTGATTGTGAGCCGTGAACAGGTACTGTGACCTATAATCATTTTATTATCCGTGTATGAGCT